TCCATCGAATGTGCGATTGGTATAAATGTCGGTACACTGCATATTGTCAGTCCGGACTTCTTAACGTCGTTTATGGTGCGCATTGGTGGCCCATACTTTGGTTTGTATATGTATATCAGTTGCATTGACGTGTACACAGCACTTATGTGCAACATGTATATTACCCAGGAAAGGAAAATCATTTTTGATGACACCGATGTGGGTTGCTGTCCACTGGCTACATTGCACAATATTGCCCAAGAAATAATGAGACAGTAACCATAGTCTGAAAACACACCTTTCTCCGATGGTAAATTAATACCCGATAGCCAGAGTAGACCAGACGTTATTAAAAAAACGACAAAGAGCGTTAGCCAAAAGTTTCCAGAGAACACGTTTAACATGTTTTGCCAGTATGGCAACTTCCTTGGAAGTGGAGTGTAAATTGAAAATCGAATAACTTGTCGTGCAGGTGTGGAATCGAACATTTCTTTACGCTCAGTTGTTAGAATTCCTCCGCCGATCAAAAAGTCAGCCCGATGTTTGCTTAACTCACCAAATCCACCATTCCAAGTTCCGTTTTTTAACTTAACACCCCATCGTTGATTATTTTTGACCTCGTGAAATTCCAATTTCACGTTCCCTATCTGACTCATCAACTTGATTACCTCTACATCCATGCCGTTTAACATCGTCCGAGGGGTCTGATTTGACAGTAAAGCCATTGGTGCCCAATTAAACCCGACTATGTTTACTGTACAGTTGTAGAATGTATTCGGTATTATTTTTTCAAATACATCAAAAACGGTCCATTGACTGTCACTGTTACCTTCTCGAGTGCATAAATCCTTCAGTATTGGTGTGTGATACTCTCCACACCTTTTCTGAAACGGATACCAGTAAAACGCTTCTATTGCACTGTCATTAAATGCTGGTATAAGTAACACTGTTTTAAACATTTTTTTGGTCCAGAGTTGCTTAAACACAGGCTCTAGCAAATGTTGAGATAGCTTAGTGAATTCTTCTAAGATTATGATGAAATTCACTTCTGGTCGCCACGACGCATCCGTCACGTTAATTGTATCTATATGATCGACTAAATCAGTTGTGTTATTTGCGGCGATCAGGTACGCTTGTGGTAGAATATAACGATTTGGGTTGAATGGTTTCACGTGAAATTTATTCAATAACAACGCGGGCTTATAGTTTTGATACATAGAAGACAAGATGTCTGATCGAAAATAATGAGTTACATTTGGACTCGTTGTCACGTAAACCGTAGTTCGCATTAGATTACTTACGTTCAATAACTGCACAGCACATTGAGCTAATAGATTTGAGTCACATCTTGTGTAAGGCGACCAAACTAAAATCGCGGTGAAAAGTCTGAAATATGAACTAAACATATTCATTCGTCATGTATTGTGTGTGTTAAGACTGATTAAGAATAATTTCATTAATGTCGTTGGCACCAAGCCAAAACAATTAGATAGTGTAATTTATTAATTATTTTCCGGACCAATACGTTCAGTAAACATTTTGACAGCCATGAAAATATATTTTTTTAACGTTAATGAAAAAATAAAAAATTAAATTAAAATTTCATAAGTTTTTTAGTAATATAATTATTTAGTTGATGAGAATTTTATTTTTATGAACTACACATGTATAGTCATTACTCATTATATAAAATACACGTTCTGTAATATTGTTATGCAAACTATACATAACCATATAATTATTAACTTTTGTACGCTAAACAAAAATATGACACTTTTAATGGAAAATAGTATTTTTAGCAAAAGACATTCTTTAAATTTAATCTATATGTTATTTTATGTACATTATTCCTTCGTAAAGCATTTTTAACTTATTAGAAGTCTCGATTGTTTTCTAATCAAAAGCTTTCATTAACAATTGAAACTAATTGAATGGTAACTATAAAATGTTAGGTATTCGCTGTAGAATCATTAAATTGTTCAAAATGTTGATTAACATATATTATAATATAAAGATGTACTCATTTCAATGTGTTATAATAAATTCATAAGTAAATTTTTTCGGTCATCATTTGATAATATTTATATAGTATATACGTATGTATTATATGTCATACCAATTCTTATGCCAGTGATACTATGTATTCATTTTTGTTATGAATACTTTTAAAATGTTTTTAAAATACATATATAAATGCTTGGGTGAATTTGTATTTGAAATGTGTATTACAATTAGACTATAAAATATGTATGTAAAACGTATAATTGATAAAAATTTCATGTTTATACAGTTATTCATTTTTTAATTATTAAACTAATAGATTAAAAATATAAATTTTATCATATTGTATATTATATGTTTTTCTTTAATTTTAAATTCTACACAGAGCAAGAAATGCGTTCATTTTAAATTTAAAATTATATGTTTATTATTTTTTTTGGAATGTGTGTTTGCACGATAGGTATTAGGTCATCGTAAAAATGGTTCTATTTTTTACTTTAATGGTAATTTTAAAATGGCAAATTAGATTTAGTTTATACTTTAAAGTGGTAAAAATTAAAAACTCCCAATATTTAGGTTAAAAACCATCAAAACATTAAATAAAAATGGAAAAAATCAGTTTAAAATTTAACATCATATATTATTATATTTAAATTAGATTATTTTAGATGGTTTATGTCTATATTATTATAATATTATAATCTTCACAATGTTTTTAAATTGCAAAGCGTATAAGAAACGTGCAAACGTGCATTAGGTAGGTACATAAAATATCTATAAAATCGTAATAATTATTATTTGAATAGATATTATAAAAGTTGTAATGTTGGGTAGTAACGTGATAAAAAATTCTATTAAAATTACATAAAGCCGGGTACAGATTTAGGATACATTGTAAACAATAAATTATGTTTTTGACATTACAGCCCACGATGTTTTTCTGATTTTCCATTATAAGCGGAAACATAATAGTATATCGGTGTATTGTCGACGACATAATATTATGTCATTGTATAACGTTGTATTCAAAGTCTGTACGACCAGACTTAACATAATTTTGTTAGAATATTAAAGCTTGAAATAAATTTATAAGTTACAAAAATGAAATTTTACATTTTTACTTATTGTTCCTTACGGTTCTAACAATATACAAGTACATACGTATTACCTTTATGACTTCATATATGTTTAACTTCCTAAGTATTTTTAGAATTTAAATGCAATTAAATTTATTTGGATCTTGTGAATTAAATAAACTGTTTTATTTCTATATACATCATACATAGATTCTTAATAAATTTAATTTTGGTGCATATTATTGAGGATAAAAAATAACCTTTTCAATCTGTGATCGGAACTCTGAATTTTAAAACATGACTATTGACTGCTGTTATACTATTTTCTATCGATATATGGGGCACACGATAGTTAAATAATCAAATAAATAAAACATTGGTTTTGCGTGCTTATAAAATAATGTTTATTTAGTAAATTGTTTTATTGTATCTACCACTTGTGATTGCAGTATCGTATGTTAAATATAATAACTTATAAAAATATTTAGAAAACCATATTGCTGCATAATAGGTGTTAAGTGTATATAACTATAACTCCTTAATTAGTAGGTAACTACGTTAAACGTATTTAATTGATATGATAATTATTAATAAGCACTTAAAGTTGACAAAATTTGTAAAAATCAAGATAATTTTCAATTTATATTGTTATTAAAACTCATAAATCGTTTAATATTCATACCATAGATTCGAAACATTTCACTGTTATTGTTGTAAACTTAAAATACAGTTAATATGTTTAATATCGTATATTATTTCAATGCATTAAATATAATTATAAAATTAGCATAATATGGTGTACGTGTAAGTAAAATACGCATTACCAGAAATAAGGCAGTTAAAGGATAAAAACATTACGTGTTTTTTCTGATTTACGCTGAATAATATATTTTACATTAACATAGCGGAATACCACGTAATATTTCCATTATCGACATATTATTAACATCACGCCACCACACGTCATTACTAGAACTCGTATAAATACTAGCATTAAATAGAAGATAGTCACTGTGGCTAGATTCACTAGACTCGTCTTTTTTTTTAAGACTATTGCTCGTCACGAGCTTTGTCACAGCTTCATCGCCATGGGTACTTAGTCATTCCCAGTGCTATAGTAACTTTTACATAGCAGTTAGCTATTTTTATTTAATTTATTGTTTAAGTATCAATAAACCATTGTAATTTATTTATAATTCAAAATATAAGTGTTCTGTTTATTATATTACCTATCTACTTGGAATTTTTATTTTTTATTTTTTTCAATAATTGACAATAAATAACTTTTGTTCGGTAAAAATAAAGCTTGACAATTTAATGCAACGATCTTCACTAGATATAACTATTGGAATTAAAAAGAGCATATATCATTAAAAAATATTTTTCATATATTTACATGTATATGATTAGAACTTTTTTTAGGGGGCGCAATTGTCTCACTCTGTTTTAAATAATTTCCGGCCATTAATTAACAATTTTTTTCTTGCAGATTTTATGAATTATTTGTATATCTAACATAAGCTGCTCAAACAAATCGTTATTTGATCTATAATATTTATGCACTTGCCCAATACTCGAATTTAATACATTTTCGTTCGTATGATCGAACATTTTCAAGCATTTGAAAAAAGTGTTAAATGCATATTTCAGTGCAATTTAAACGGCGGTTTTTAGGACTTGAAATATTATGTTTCTGAGGTAGGTATTATCGTGTATTGAATTCGCAACTTCGGTTGTACCTATATGCAATATAGTATGAGTAATATGACCTATACACTCGACGGTCTTGCCGAAACGGTCACACTGGACGTGACATCAACATTTGTGTGCACAATAATAGTATGAGTATTATGATACGCTGCCGCCGCGACCGCCGATATCGCTGACGCCGCCTACGGGAGTCTCTCTACTATCGATTTAAGTTGCATTGTTGTTGTGTTTCGCGCGACCCGGCTCGGCTGCGAACGCAGTACGTGCCCGTCGGTCCGAAAACGCGCACCATCGCCGCAGCAACTTCCACTGGTCTCTGAAAACGGAAAGCGCGGAAAAGTGTGCGGCGCCACAAGTTGCAGGTGTCAGACTATCCGTTCGCCGTGATCATACCGTCAGAACAGACGCCACTGCAAGCACCGTAGTATAATAAAAGTATTAATAATCATAATTACAAAACATATAATAATATTATAGATACATAATATTATTATTAACGAACGGTTAGGTTACGGTATACGTATACCGTATAAATACCGTCGTGTGTGTTGTTTTGGTCACGGTCGTACAATGACTTCCAGTGACGGAGGACTGCAATCTTGTCAACGGCAGGACAATCGCGGCGGCAATAACGTTGGTCAAAATCTGCCGATAATAATGGCCACCGGCTGTCGGATGCCGCGGTCGCCGTCAAGGGACAAGGACTTAACGTCGTGCGCCGCCTCTAGGACCGCCGCCGTCGCACATCAACAGCCGCCCTACGCCACCACCGCCGTAGTTTTGAACCGCGTTACCAGTCCTTATCCTGATGCGTATTTTAAAAGGTATATATTATTACACGAATAACTTTGATATTAGCATGACGTTTTTTTTTTGAGGGTTAAGTATTGAAAATCGGGTATTGCACACATATTTCCCCACGATTTTAGTGATCAAAATAGAAACAATAATCTACATTGTCTGGATATAGAGATCGAATAAAGGTGGGAAAATTAAATATATTATTCAGAATATTATTGTAAGCAATACTATTTAGCTACCTAAATTTTATTATGTTATTTATATACAAATCTCTTTAGCTTTGTACCTAATAAAATGAAAAATGATTTAAAAACATTAAATTGTATCAAACATATTACACAGAATAACTAATACTAATGCTAATACTTATTTTTATTTTTTTTATTTGTTCTTACAATATGAGCCATTATTATTGAACTTTCGCAAATACACTTGTGTGTCTTACGTGTAAAGTTATCAATTTATCATACCCCTATTAACCCATTTTACAAAATTGTATGAGTTATACAGTATTATTGTAACATTATTACACTGATTAATGCCTAAGGTATGAAGAATAAGTATTTTTATTTAACAATTATTCGGTTCAATTCAATTTGTTCACTTGTTTACAGAGTATATATCTTCTCCGATATTTCCTAATATTGTAGGTAATATTGAGATTTTAATATTATACTTTTCATTTTATCCTTATTATTCACAATATCCTGCTTTACCCGTCATATATACTCGTAATATATAATTTGACGGTTATATAAATCCTGCAATAGGTAACGTTACTGTGGGTCCATTTTTTCCTTTTTAAAATTAGCTTATAGATTCACTGAGTAAACCCAAGTTGATTTTATCACTTAGCCTTCAAATGTTGTAATTAGTCTAAAAAAACATTGTTTTTCACACAACATAGCTGACATATCATATTATATTATTACATACATTTTTTAAAAATATTGATTTGTAAGAGAACACGCATTAAGACATGTTACTTTTATACATTTTAGTCTAGAAATGCATTGACAGAAATCAAATATCATGCAATCTCATAATAATAAATATGTTTGAACATAGTATTATAATATTTACAAAAATACTAGTTTTGTATTTCTATTTTATAAAGTAATTATTATAATTTCTGACTAATTATACATATGTTCATAATATTGTAACATTTTATAAATTATAATAGCTAAGAAGTAATTAATGATTTATAGTACCTATACATTGATAACTAAGAATAAATTCCAATTATCATATAAGTAACTACTGTTTGATAAAAAAAAAATAGCGATATAAAACCTATTTATAAATTATAATGTATTAATTTACTTTACATATTATACGGCCTACATTTTAATAATTTAATCTTAAATATTATATATTTTAATCAAATCGATCTAGATAATGAAAAATAGATGTTTAACACATTTGATAATATGTTCTACGAAATTGGAAAATGTATTAATGCTGTCCTGTAAAATTAAATGTTTGTGAAGCTTAAGTTACCTATAGATAATATGCAATGCTGTCTGCTAAACATATTTTTTCTGCACTATATTAATGTGATTAATAGTTTTTAATTATCTACTACGAATTTATATTTTTTTGCATATTTTATCGTTCATCGTAGAATTAATTTACACGGGTGTCTGTGGATAAAATATTATTTATTAGACTTAATAGTTATAGATTATATGTAATTTATTATCTATGAAACAATTACTTAAACATAAAATCTGTGTATATAATTAATTTTGAGTATGTTTAAAAATGAAAATCCAAATGGTCGACGGAGAAAATATATTTTAATGTATATTTTGAATCTTTATGCATACATTTAACAATATTTATTTAAAAAATAAAATTAAAAATATAATTTTATTTTTTTTTAAATAAATCATAACATAATTACCTATTTATAAGTAGGAATTGTAACAGGTACCTACCAATATATAATACTTAATCTGTAATCATTAATAGTTCTACCTTGATGTTAATTAATTTCTGTTATTAGATTATTAAATGGAAATTTTAAAATAACTCATTTTCGATTATAATGTTCGTGGTTGTAGAATGTAGATAATTTTTAAAAACATTAATCACTATGGCTATAATCTAAAGAGTATAGAAATATTGATTATAAGTTTATAAGTAATAAATTATAAATCATATTAATAAATACGTATAAAATTAACTACCATATAAATTTTTGTAAAAGTTATTTTTCTGAGACAGTTTTTTTTATCAATTTCACTGTATTTATTATGGGTTAAAATTTATATTAGTTTTTTATTTTTTTTTTTATTTTAAAAACAATCAATACATATGGCACATAATATAGGTAAGTATAAATTATTAGTGACAACATAATCAATAACGTATAAGAAATGGTTCCAGACGAAACTACTCTTCAGCGATATTTCGAGTGAAATAATAATTTATGATTTTATTTTATCGAAAAGTATATTACACATATTTAATTAGATAATTGATATCAATAAAAACTTAGTAATAAAAAAATCTACGTAAACTATATTTAATAAGTATGGATAATTTTCAATGATAATGATAATATAGAGCAGGGGCGGTCAAACAGTCGATCGCGATCGACCGGTCGATCACAAACGATTTTAAAGTCGATCGTGCTAGAATTTATTTTTAGGCTGCGCTCACGAAAATTAATTATAGTGGTATAGTAACTTAATAATAATAAAAACTTTTTTATCGAAGTCGATCCTCAAAGGTGAAGTATATTTTTAGTAGATCGCGGCCGAAAAAAGTTTGACCGCCCCTGATATAGAGTAACAATAATTTTTGATTGTATTCAAGAATAAAAATAAATTAATTTAATTATCTATTTAGTAAGAATCTATTTAATAATACTAGAGTAATATTATTAAATAATATTTTTGTAAAGTTAAAGTTATTTATAATTTTATCTTATAAATTATTATTTCGTAATATTATTTTAGAAAATAAAACTCTTTGTTTTTAAAAATCTTTTAAAAAAGGATTTTTTTTTGTCAAAATAATTTTTAATTAACATTTTTTATAAGCGTTTGAAATTAGAATCTTGACGAATTTCGCAAAATCACAAATATTATCAAATTATTTTATAGTTAAAAATTTTATAAATCTTATAAATTTTTAACTTTCATAACTAAGATAAGAATTAATAAATATTTTATTATAAGGTTTTTTACAATTTTTTTAACGTACTTTAAAAATAACGGTTAATCAAATTCATTTTTTTTATAAAGTTTGAAGTTTTATGATATTGGATATTCACCTGAGTAATAACTAATTCTCCTTAAAATTTTTTTATTATTGCGTTGTAATTCAAAACCAAATAACCGTAAATACTTGAAATTTTCACCAAATGTTGATATTATAGTTTTCAAAATATTTCGAATCTTTTTGAGCTTTATAGGCAATTGAAATTGTTGATTTTTGATTTTTTTTTTTCATTAAATGTTAATTAAAAATTATTTACTGGATTAAACTCACGAAAATCAATTACAATAAGATGATACCTCATACGTAATTTTAATTTTTAATTCTTTTTAAACGAATTTATAAAAATTCTATGTAATTAAATTTTCCGAAAAATCATCATTTGTTTTAATGATTTGTGTTAAGCTTCGTTATTCACCAATACTTTATTGCGTAAAATCAATAATATAGAATTCTGTTTATTTTTGGAGATATATATATAAATAGAGACATTCCAAACGAAATTATGTTTCGTATAAATTACATTAGCAATATGTTCTCCTTAAAAAAAAAAAAAAAATAAGAGGCAACATAAGAGGAAATTCAATTTGGGTTTCATTAGATGAGATCATGAATTTTGATAGGAGATACGTGGCTAATTTCATTATTGAAACATTCCAAACTGCAGACTAGCCAAAAAAAAGTCAAAAAAAGTAGCTACTTAAAAAGTACTAAGATTATCGAAAAAGCAAATTATTTTATTAATCAATGTTCTTTGATTTTGTAGGTTGGTATTCGTTATGATGAATATTCTTTCTTCTTTTTAGAAGATATACAAGGGAAATTTCTTAAACTAAAAAAACTCATTGTTAAAGTTAGGCAAATATTTTTTGAAGTATCAATCTGAAGTTTTCTTTTTAAAAATAAAATATAAGGGTCATCACTCATCCGACAAGAGTATATTTCTAGTTTTCAGATATTTATTTTTTAAATTAACAGTTTATTTCAAATTATTAGTTATTTAGATAAAGTAAAGTATTTTTTTTATCATCGAAAATTAACAAAAAAATTGTAATAAATCAAAAATGACTAAAATATGTACTTGTTTACCAAATACGTAAAAATATGTATTTACGCTAAAATATGCAAATATGTAAAAATATATAAGATAAAATTGAGCTTGTTTAAATTAAATTGATCTAAATTATACACATTATTTAATATATTGAATATATCTTATCCTAATCTAATGAAAATATGTATTTTCAATGAAATCCATACCTTAGATATTACTTATTTATATTATTTATACTGTTTCGTAGCAAGGTGTTATATTGATTCAAATTAATAAAAATAATATGATATTATAGAAATATTTATTATTTTTATAGGTAATATTAAAATATAAATATAATAAATTTAATGTTTTCGGAAACAATTTAATCAATCTACCGAAATAGTAATTGTAAAATAAATTAATTTAATAACAATAACTAAAAACATATTATTATGAAATATATATTAGTGATATAGACCGTCTCCATTTACAATCGTTTTTAGTTTACAATAATTAACAGATGATACATGATTGAATTCAAATTTAGTGACTCACTTGACACGTCTTATTTTTTGTTAAACATTATTGAAGTGTAATTATTTTGTTCATCTATTATACTAGGTATTTCATTTTGTTTCATAAACTATTAAAAAATAATCAAAATCTATAACAAACTATTATATTTTATATATAGATTTTACGTATGACATAATAATATGTCATACTATATATTCAATAAAATTAAAAATATTAAAAATTATTAATTATTGATTTTTTTTTTTATACGTTTTTGTCAGACGTTACTACTATAATATAGTTAACTAATAATATACATTTTAATTTTATTTTATTTGAGTAATTCAAACACAACATGCTATTTGATTAGGTATACTAATTTTTACTAAAGTATCTAACTGGTATCATTTAGTGTTAAAATTTTTGAAGTATTATTTCGATGTTTATTTTATATTATTTATGAATTTACGGTGTACCTATAAGTGTATACATTATTATGTTTATTATTAAATTCACTGAATCACCGATGAAGAGTAATTACATTTTTAATATAGCCTATCCTTAACTAAATTAATAAAAAAAAATAATTGTGTCTATAAATATATGGTATGATAAAGTATAATTTAACGTGTGAATGAAGTTTAGTAAAGATAAGTAATTATTTTAATTTAACTTTTCAATTAAGTAATATCATTTATTATAAATACTACTATGTATACCTACTATCGAAATTTATACATTTATAATCATTGGTTTAATCGAAAATATAAAAGTTACTGATGTAATTAAATTAGTTGAATGTATTATTTTATTGTCACAATTTGATTAAATCTAATTATCTATAGCAATATTAGTGAAAACATAAAAAACAGTAATTAGTTAAAAACATTTCGTTTTTTCCATAATTTATAAAGTTATTTAAATAATTACACATTTAAAAATAGAAAATAATTTTACAAAAATCAAAAAATTGGAATAATTTAAGAAAAATGTTTTATTCTAAGGTAAATATTAAATATATCCTTAAAATATGTATTGAGATTTCAGATTTATATCTTTTTATTTCAAAGCAGTTTAATAATTAAATTACGTATTTGTTGTAAATTAAATGTTATAGAAATTGTTAAGAATAAAATATTTAAGATATTTATCCTATATTGCATATTCAAACATGAAATAATACATTTTTGCCAGTATGAATGTCCTTTTATTTATGTTAATCTATTATTCTATTATTTCTATTTTAATACGTAACTATTGTGTACAACGCATATTTTTAAAAATTTAAAACATTAATTAACTTACATTTTAAGAGAAAAATAGCTTGCATTTATATTATAATATATAATGTGTTAGTGTTATGATGATGTTTGTAAAAATTTCTATTTTTATTACATTTTTAATATACAAGTTGCTTATTAATTAGTTATTTATTATAACAAACTCTTTTGTTTAAAACTTAGAACATGTATGATAACAAAAGTCTGGTTATGTATTTCATTCAAATTTAATTTATAATGAATATTTCACATTATTATGTACATTTTATTATGCAATCAATATTTGCCTATTTTTTTATTTTGAGCAGAGCTATGAATATATTGATTTTACAATGATATGAGTGTATGACTGTGTGTGTATGTGTTATTATCTGTATTCGCAATTAGTAGTAGAAAAAAGACTTTGATCTTCAACTAATTGTAGTTTCTTATAAAAAAATGAACCTAGTAGGTAATACTAAGAGGTCAAAATTTATAACTCGCAATATTTTGTGTAATTAAAAATCATATAGATATTTTAAATTTTTATAAAATGTTTATATTAGTATTTTCTTTAAATGATAAGACTTTCAAATATTTTTTTGTATATGTTAATGTTGAAAGATTGTCTTTCACTTAGAATCGTTTTTCATATACAATGATGTTTTAATAAATTCAAATTTATCACGCACATTAAAGTGAATTACTCTTCAATGACAAGATAGATTCGACACCTACTTGACAGAAATGAGGTTACTGTCTTTCCATTGTTTTAAATAAGTTCGTGACAGTACATCGAATAATATAGAAACGAAAAGTTGCAGTGTAAACCCATAAGCGTTATATAATTATTAATAAAATATTATTTATGCACTAAGTACAATAATTTATATAGGCCTTGAAGTTAAATCTACAAGTGGTTTAACCCAAAAACTTTGCAGTATCTAATATACCACTTTATTGTATTATAAATACAGTATAAATCAGTTGCAATACCACTATGAGCTCAAAGGCTTGCGAGTTTTTCTCGTTATAACCGAAAGCTCGTTTTATCCGGTAAAAACTCAGAACCGAGTGCACGTGGTAAATGAGGAATGGGAAAATACAAAAAAGATCTCAAATTATCCCGGGTGTAATTCAATTTTAATTTATGGCTCTTAAACAACTAATATTTAAATAATTAATAAATAACAATCTGTATTTACGTCGGTATAGTATAATAAATTTATTATGTGACAAAAATGTAAATATCTGTTAAATCCGATCAAAGTAAATATGCCCAAATGCCCAATAACATTATAATGTATAGTGACAAACAATAAAATCGATTTCCTTAATTGGTCCTCATCGCGCTGAACCATAATATATTTATGAGTAGGTACCTATATATATATATATATATATAGGACCTAGGTCACATACCTACCAAACCGATGGAATGCTTAATATATAAGTTATTATAATACCGTTACGTCGTGTCCGAAACAGGATTTCGCAGGACATATCTAATTCGGTGTGGTTCGAGGAAGAGAACGATTTGATAAAAAGCTGCGGAGCATTGCAGTCGGCGCTGGGCCTGTCCAAGAGCTTCAGCACCAGCGACATAGCCGACGCGACCGGCATGGACACAGAGTGTTGGCTGGCGGACAGCGACGACGTCCGCATGCCGCGCAGCGTTTCCGAGGTGGCCATCAACAAGTTGCGCATCAACTCGGACGTGCTGCTAATGGCCAACACTATGCACGGCCGGTTGGGCAACACTTCGCGGTCGCTGTCCACGTGCGTGGTGGTCGGCGACATGGCGTCCACGTCGCAGCTGCCGTCGCCGAGCCGGTACTCCAGCTCGCTGCACAACAGCTACGCACCGTCCGCGTTCAGTACCACCGACCTCGTGAGATCCGTCAACAAAAAGGTATAGAATGGCGTACGATTATTATTTTGAAAAAACGAGTGTGTATGTGAGTATGTGTGTGTGTGTAGTTCAAAACGCCAATATACGTTTGTACGTCGAAATAATAAAGCGGTAAAAAAATTATAAGTTTTTAAATTATCAGCTGCTTCCGTGCGAGGTGCGTGTGTCGGCACATTTGTCGCGCAGCTTATCGGTACACTTTCCGCAATTCGCGATGACAATCTTTAACAATAACGTACAATAATGTGATAATAATTTACGCAAAATGTAAAATAATATTACTAGATCCGTCACATCACACATCGACGAATAAAAAAACAAATTTATAATTCACATTTCCGCGTTCTATAATATTGTTGTCTTTGGCGTACCACAGTTTTGAACGTCTGATCTACATAGTCGATTTCAGGAAACAACTAATTAGATACCAGGTTCTTTGTTAATTCATACAATGATTATGGCAAGCTGTTTATTTAAATTAATAATAAATTCAAATTTAAACGGTTTACGTTTAAATTTTATATTTTATTATGTAACTTCACTTACCACAGGTGTGTGGAAAATTAATTATTTAACACACCCTCACTTTACGCCTAATGTAGGTATACTCGATGTACACCTAAGGTCGTGTACCCGTTTGTTATTAGTTATTACTTATTATTAACCATGGTAGTAATGATATAATTTTCATTACCCCCTTGCAATTACCAAAATGATCTATGGTTATGTGATAAAATTCTCGATGACGTTTTGTGTAATGGACATGATCTAAAATCAAGTGCGCAGAACGAAAAAATAAATTAATAGTACCTACCTATAATGTTTCGGTAGCTGTTGACGTTTGATCATTACTTTTTGTTTTTACAGTAGTAATATTAGATATAAATTCATATATGATTATTGCAGTATTGTCGCATTCTTTGGGTATTTAATAAATATGCATATTTATTTAGACCAGTGGTTCTAAATTTATAAAGCTAATTTGAGACGAGCCGCATTGTAAACCGATGTTTATGAAATGAAGACACATTTTTGGTTACACATACTAAAAGCACCGCCGCTGTGCCAATCTATACCTAATAAAGACTGTTATGATAACGAAATCGACGGAAATAAAAATGCTATCTAACGTTTCTAACGATTCTAACAAATTTTATATCTATTAATTCTAGTTTAAATTTAGTTCAAAAGCCGCACGAAACTGATTTAAGAGCCGCATGCGGCTCGCGAGCCTCGTTGTGGCCATCCCTGGTTTATATTATAACAACGTCTTTTTGGATTATCTATACATTTATATTGCTGAGAAGAGGTATTTTAACACTCAATACACCTTCTCCTCTCCTCTGAATACGCGCCAATTTGGCACTATACAATATTATAATAATATAATAATTATATGTATTTTGTGTCCACTGCAGGTGCGACAAAATTACATTCAACGGCGTCTAATGATCACTTACAAGACATTGGAACGTTTATCTCTAAGTGAATTCAATTTAGACAAGAGTTCCGGAACCGATCGTGTACCAGATCAATTGCAGTTGTCCGGCCGCCATGACGGGACTGCAGCCACCGCTGCCACGGGTTCAGGAAAATATTTGAGCGTACCAAGAACCGGTGGCAAATCGCTGTGCCCAGACGACATTGCCGTGTGCACTGACACCATAAAGCGATATCAGCCAAAGGCGTTCACCCGATACGATAGGAACATGTTCATAGTCAACTGGCTGGATAACATCGATCCGCAAAACACTGCCATGGAAGATCAATAAGACATTTACATACACACTCGCACATACACATAAAAAATAATATTGATATATTATAATAATGATTGAAGGACTTGCTGCAAAAATCAAACAAATCAAATTTTTGAAACTTTTGGGTATAATCAAAAAACAGTCTTAAGATTTGATTTTTTTTTTTTTTAAATCTTACAATTATAATTTTTTTGTTTTTAATGAAACAATTATTAAATTATTTTAAATAAAATAAAACAATGTTCAACACTAATCAAGTTTTGAATAATGAATGCACACTACTTATAATTATTCATTATGTTATTGAATTTTGATCATTATCTATACCAAAAAAAGAAATATCAGATAGGTCTATCGACTATACAAATTATACCTATGTAATATATAAATATATTTAACGGACTAATCTGGATGTTGCGCTCATTTTTAGGATATTTTTTCTTTGTTTTATTCCGTGAGTAAGTGCATTTTGAAAAAAAGTGAACTTGTGTGGTTTTTGCAGCAACCCTTCAATTTAGTCTTATTGTTAGAGTAAAACACGCGCACAACTTTATGCGATATGTGCATCGATATTAATACTGCTAAAAAAAACTGCTATGTATAATATTATAAATTTTTATTTATTTATCAATCATTTAGTTATTATCTAATTGTTGTTAAATTGGCCGTAGTCATAATCACGGTCTTATAATATAGTGATCATCATCGCATGATCTATAGCATATTATAGGTATTATAATATTATTACCAATGTATTATGATCATATTATTTTAGAGCGATTATTTCTAAACGATTCGTTAAATGTTGTATTATGCACGTCGAGACGTGAGTGATCTTTGTCAATACGATTTTTTACTTCCCGAGGTTATCACATATTTTATAAAATTACATCGAGTTTGAATAATTAATTTGTGTTTAAGCTTGAGCTATTTAATTATATGTAATTTTCATCTTAACATCTAAGTATGTGATACAAGATTGATATTTATCTAAGTAAATATCCCTTTGGATTGGCATTGAATAGATGTTTTTATTAGTGAAATTGGAAAAATATAATATTATGACTGCATTACATAATATTTAAACTCAATATTTATAAATAATCAATGAATCACATAACAAAGAAGGTTATAGGCTAACTACTCTGTTATTTTGTTAATGTATACCCACGTTTTATTATTTTATAATATAAGTATTTAAGACTATAACAGTTTAGATATTTTTATTATTATCTATATATCTATGAGAGTATCTACGAAAATAATTGTCCCATTGAGTATTGACTTAAACTATTCATCGTTACTTATTTAATTCATTATTAATTTGTTTATTAAATACCTATCCTAATATATCTATATTATTATTATTATATTTACTTATATCTTATTAAGGAACGATATGATAAATAATAATATTCGGTATGATAAAGGCATGATTAGAAATAATCATAATAACACTATAGATGACTGATAAGTTTCATAGACTATAGTTAACTTATTTACATTAAAATGATCAGTGAATTTGTCAAGAATTGAAAGTCAATTAAATAAACATTTTTATTAAAATTTTTAATATTATATTATAATACTATAGGTTTATCGATTTACATGTATTAAGATTAATGCTAGAATTGGAAAAATAGATACTCTAAAATGTTTTCATTTTAACAAACGCCCGCCAATCTACCTTTTTTAAATTAGTTGAGATACGCTCAAATATTTAAAAACCAATTTAAATATAGTACTATGTCTCCTCACATTTTCTATATGACCATATCCAATTCTAGCATTTTACCTACAACAGTATTACGCTTTGATACATTTAGACAAAGACTTGAGATTTGAGAAACTTGTTTTAAGGCATTTATTTTATTATGACATGCTTAACAACATAAATAACTAAATACAAATTTAATATTTTAATAACAATAAATTGTTAAAAATAAGAATATTATAAAAATACTAAAAACATTTTTCATAATTAAAATTTTTAGTAAAGCTCATTAACTATTATTATAATATTAATAAATTAAAAATACATATGATTTAAAATGTATGATTTATAATAACTTAGATATTTACCTAATCTGTATATCATTATATATTTTGAATATTTGTTTTTACTTATACAATAGGTATAAAGTATCTAAGACCAATTAGCTATTTAAATTATAATGTTTGATCTACAATTTGTAAGAGATTATGTTGACTAAAACTTTCAAGCTGATAAAATACGATTTTATTTTTTGTTTAATTTTAAAAGTATTAATTACAGAAAAGTTTTAAGTCTATTTAAAATGCGGCCTTTAATCATGTTACCAATTCAACATTTTTTTTTGTATATAATTTATAAAACTATATTCAATATAATCATCTGTATACACCAGTTAATTAAGCTTATAATATCTTAAAAAATGCTATTTTTTTATTTAGGCAATATTATTGTATTACTTAAAGTAGTGATTTTTAACCTAAGGGTCGTGAATGTTAATTTTGAGGGCGCCAAAAATAATGAACGGAATGATTTTTTCATATTATTTAAAAAATAAAAAAATAATTTATTTTGTTCTATACAATAACTTGTTGAGGAGCGTAATCTTATCTGATGACAGATTATTTAATTGTTTTTACTCATTTGGGGGAGCGATTCGAAAAAGGTTGAAAACCATTGCTTAAAGTATAACGATAATTACATCAATAATAAATCTTTTAAAATTTTTTTTAAAATGCTTTATCAATTTTTCTCAACTAACATGACAGTACAATTAATAACAGTTACCTATAATCTAAAAAAAAAAAAAAAAATAAAAAAAAAATAGAAAAATAATATAATATAATGAGCTTTTTAGTTTATATTTTTTATTGTATTATAACAATAATTTTTTATGTTTTAAATCCACTTACCCATCGATCTTATAGTCCACATATATTATAAAAGGAGCGTATAAATCTCATAACATTTTTTTTTTTTTTGGAGAATGATCAGCTAGATTTATAAATGTTTTATATGTATTGGAAAATATAAATTTATAATATAAATTGGATAATGTACTAAATACTTTTATTGTTTAATTAAAAAATTAGGAAATTTTATAATTTTTATTTAATTTATAACTTACTATTAAAAAAAAATATATGTCTGATTTATTGATGAGTGGTATACATAAAAACAATTTTATTATACAGACTATGTTGATTATTAACTAACTTTTTTTATAAACTGTTAGTTTATAGACTATAGTTTATGTATATTTATAATAAAATATAAAAGTATTTTGTTAAACGTCTACAGGCTTATGACTTGACGTAAAAAGTCTATCAAATATGCTTTTTGATAATGATTTTAAATACTTTTTTATACAAAAACTTTAATACAATATAAATTTAAATTTGAATTTATTTTAAACTTCATGAAACAATTGTTTAAAGTCTAATTTAAATTTTCTTAATCTCCCCTATATATTATCTTTTGAAATAAAATAATAATATTACTATTCTTTTTTTTATGACTTGATTATAATATATATAGTTATATGTGCATCTTAATATTCTTAATACCTATTATTACAATCGACATCGAATGAAACTATCTATCTGTATATTTCTAAATTTATTATTATTAAGCCTACATGATTTAACATTATTGCCTATTTTGGCATCCTACAAAATTAATCAGTTTTTAATAAAAACTTTTTTAAATTTTCGGTATTTTATAAATCCGTCCATTTATTAAAAAATTTTTTTTTAATTTTTAAATACTCAAAACATTCTATTTATATTATTGTTTAAATTATTTTTAAATAATTAACACCTGCATTTTCAATAGATTTATTAAAATATAACCTGTAACTACTAATCTCTGTTAACCATTATTGTATTTAAAAATGTAAAATTGATAATATCACCTGTCCTTAAAATAATTGTGGAAAACTAAGTATTGTTATGTTTTTTGTAGATATAACTTTGAATTATATACCTTCTTAACAACACCTTTAAATAATCGCATGTTGAATGTCTTATAATACAGTTATATATTTATTTATATAGTATAGTATAATATAGTACCTACATATTTGCTTATTTTTGATTATTATCATGAATAGTTTATTGGATATTCCTACATAATATTATAATATATTTAATATTATATTCCTTAATTTTTTTTTATCTTGAATGTATTATAACTGATTATATTATTGTTATTATTCCTATGTATGGTAAATAGTATATTAATTAGGTACCTATATCAATATATTAAAGGTGGATAAGTTTCAGAAAAAGTTATACCTAATACCTATTGGCTTTTAGTTATGTAATGGATATTGTTAATCATTAAAATAAAATAATTTAAACAATTATAATTCAGCATAATTTTATTTTATTACTTATGAAAAAATTTAATTTCTAATGTGAGCAGTGATCCCGAATAAAATAAATGTTCTAAATCAATTAATGATGATTGAATATACAATAATTTAATATTAATTTTTATTGTCTACAGGTATTTATGTAGGTATATTCAATTTTATAATTCAGCTATAAAGACTATTATGCTTACAATACTGACATCGTTTATCGTTATGACCTTTTGTCTTCTCAATGGGCATATATATATATAAATGTTGGTACTATGTAAAAGTTGGTGTTGAAAGATAGTTAACAAGCTGTTATAAATTAGAATAAGTAATCTAAAAAATGTATATTTAAAAAAAAAAAGTTAAATTTCTGGATTATAATGCATTGCAATAATGAATAATTAGTTAAAATTATTATACCATTTTTTTCCATAGTAAAAAGACTACCTTTAGTAATAGAAACTGTTTGAAAACGATATCAGTTGATTTAGGTTTTTATAAACTGCAAGTCTATTACCTTCATCAAATAACTTATTAAACGATAATCATTAAAATATTACATAGAACAAGTTGAGTCTATATTTTTAAATCATTGGTTGACTATTTAATACCCTCAAGAGTAAATAATAACTAACTTGAAAAAATTCTGAAAAATTGGAATTAATACCTAGGCCTATTTTCCAAATACATTAGTACTTTTATACTTTATGTTGAAAATTGTCTTGTGCTGATACCATCATATTTTTTTTTCAAATGAAATCTATATTTTTACTGTTAGCAGATTTTTTTTTTTTTTTTTGAAAATCTCCATTAGGTATAATAGTTTATGTAGGTAATTATTTGACTAATAAGGAGTATAAGAGTTGTTAAATGTACATACTGTACATACTTACTAAGGTTAATATTTTTTTTTAAAGATTTTTCACACAACTATAAAATATACGTAATATTTAGTAATGTTGTCATTTAAAGAAACGTTTACAATCAAAAATAGGTGATAAAATATATTTATTTTTATCAAAAATATTGTGTTATTACTTCAAATTATGTGATTTTTTTTTTTTAAATATATAGATTAACCACGACAATAATTGTTAATGTTTAGTGATAAAATTATACAAAAGAATCATCTCATTTTAATATTTTATATTATACTTACATAACATAGGTCGAATATTTCGTTGAACATTGAACGACATAAAATAAATAGGTACCCAATAAGCCAAAAAAGAATATTTATATGGATGTTATTATATATCAGCATAGCAATCATAGCATATTGTACATAGTGATATCAATAAATGTATAGACTGTATAATAATTATTAACTTTACAGTTTATAGTTGTAAGTATACAGTAAAATGTACACATGTTGCATATTGTACGTATAAATAAATTGAATACAAGCTTATAACACGGTCCTACATAATATAATTAAAATTTTATGTACGTTATACCATAATAAAGACATAAAATAAACATTTATTCTTAATCAAGGGCGCTTAGTATAGTAAATTAAAAGCAGTTGCTCTCAAGCAAAGACTTTTTATGTACACGTTTTGAAAAGATATACATTTTTGAGATTTATATTAATAATAGTACTTGTCTATATTTAGAAATTGAGTTTGCTTAAAATAAATAGTAGATTTTAAATAAAGAATTTTTCTAATAACTTAGTTAATTTTAAGTCACAAATAAAACATCACAATTTCATATGCTTCAAACTTGGTTATTATAAATTATTATAATATAAAAAATATGATAACTACTTAAACTAATTTTTAATTACACAATTCTCTCTTAGATTTCATTAGATTTATTATTACTATCAAGTACATCAAATCTTTCAAACTAACAAATATTTTTGTCATATAGTGTGCGCAACGTGCCAACGTGTTAATGTTAATTAGTTATAAATTATAATAAACAAGCTAAGTAAATTTAAAATTATTTTATTTATTTTCTATTAGCTTAGTAAAAATAATAATTTATAAAAAAAAAAAAATCACGATATTGAAAAAGTATAATTTACCTATATGTATTTGGTTGGTATGTATAATAATGGAATAAATACTTTAACCCTACTTTCCTTAAAATACTCATTTCTGCGGACGCCTTTACTTATAGGTAAATGTTGTTTATAATAACTGTTGGCAGTTGGTAGTATAATTACAAGATGTAATATATATATATTTACTCGTATTAATACAAGCATTTTTGTATAATATTAACACGATTTTTATATTAACAACCATTATTTAAACTTTACAACAATTTTATACTCCTTTATACTTATTACCTATTTATTTTTTATATAAAACGTAGTTTTGAAATTTTTTTGTTTATAAATAGTATATTATATTTATTAATGATAAATAATTATGGATAGGTTAGTTTAAGTTATTTATGAACCAAGTATGTACCTACGGGCTACCTATGTAAAATTTTACACTCTAGGTATTGTTTATTCAACAGATAAGATTCGATATTTTCATTATCTACTATTTAAATATTATTTTTATAATTTGTGAATAATGTTAATCAGTAGACAAATTATTGTTTTCTAAACGCACTGCGATATATCATAATTTAATAATTATAATATAGTTATTGCTTCCGAAAAATTACGCGCTGAATACCTCTTAATTTATTTCCGTCGAACACTTCGGGTACTCGCAATCGGTCTGTATATACCTATAGTACCTATATAATATCTCGTTTGGCTTTCACTCCAATTAACCGTGCTCTCAATAATTCGTTTTTTTCGCGACCTGTATTGAAAAGTAGTAGTTACTATAATGTTTCGTATCGATGCGTTGCAACGTGTAACATTATCGAAGAGATCGGGAAATTTTATTTTTTACCGTTATTCGTTTGTATTCATTAGTCATTACTCATATTATATCTCGTATACATATTATACCTATAGAACACAGCACGCCAGCACAACTATGTGCATATCATGTCAGACGTACCTAATATCAATGTACAACAACAGTGCAGCAGGAAGGAGTTTTATCTAGTGTTCCTTCGCAAATATAATGTTTTTATATCGTTATTAATGTCATTCTTCGGTTTGACGAACCAATAAAAATGGTGTGTAATAACGACGACCTTGAAAAAAAAACATTTTTCCGACCTATATCTAAATGACTAAATCGTTTTTGATATGCGAAATGCGTGACTACTTCACGCGAAACACTGTGACGGCCAGACGCTATTGCAATATCGTAACAGTATGATTGTGTACTAATATCATAATAATAGCTGTAGTTGCGTACATACCTACCTACTGCGTGGGAGGGGAAAATAGTTTCGTTTCTTTCTCCCACTTCTTCCTTATGATAGTTTTGTTTCAGAACGTAGTTGTACTTACACGTAATTTTAAATAGGTAGGTAAGCATTAAGCGCTTAAAATGGAACTTTCATCTCATGTTGTGTATTATTTAAATACCATCAATCGACGCGATATCTGCGTAAAAATAAAATATAAACTCAATCGAGATGAACACAAAACATGTGGCTGTTTGTTGAGGGGGAGAGGAAGGACTAAAATAAAATATAGTTCGATCCGTCTCACCGCAATGAGAACGTGACCGACGACCAAAAACTAGCGTCTACTCTTACAAACGATTAAGCGGCCGGTATGATGACTGTAATGTCGTGTAACGTCTCCAAAGGTAGACGACGACTTGGACGCTTAATAAAAATATATAATATCGTGGTATGAACTTTGAAAACTGCGCACACTTTCGGTCCTTTCCACCGCTAACACTGGCACTCGGTGGGTGCCGAACTTTCGACGGGAAACCGTGTGTAGTAATTTTATTCGGCTACGTGTTGCCACGACGACGACGTGCGTGTTCGCATTTCCCAAAGCGTTATCCTTATCGCTCGTCGCCGGTAGCGGGCGAGGGCCGCGATGCACCGCAGGCGTTATAGGGTCGCGGGTGGACCCGGTCGCGCGTCAGCGAGCGGCGGCAGCTGGTGGGTGGTTTCCGTCTTTCTTACCGGCGCCCCGCGCCGCCGCCGCGGTTGATAAGGTCTCCCCCCGCGCCGCCGCTCCCCCAGTCATACGGCCGTCCGTCGTTTTGCTTGCGTGGTCGTGCCTGCGCTTGCGCGTACGTGCGTGGCGGCGTTATCACGTCCGAATCCTTATCACTTGTCGGGCTGGCGACGAGTCCTACTCCGGTCGCGCAACGTCCGCACACACAAGTACACGACCGCTTGAAACGAGCGCACGACACGGCGGCACAGTCGTCTAGTCCGTGTGGCGTCATCACGTAGCCCGCCGTCGTCACTCGTCAGCGACACCACAGCAACCGATCCGCCGCGCGCTTTCGGCTGCCACGTTTCGACTGGGTAACGCGCGCGCACACGCGGTCGGTCGGTCGGCCGTCCACTGTTGTACCCGCCTGGACGTCGTGTGATACGCGTCCGTTTCTCGACGTCACTCCGCGGCGGACGGGTCTCGCGTCCCGGCGACCTACACACACCACGGAGGAGCCAGTGCCGGCGCAAACATGACCGGTAAAACAATTATTACGAATTATTTCGTTGTCGGTTTTCTCGCCGCACGATCGCCGTCGTACCTACCGATTTCAAACGGCACATCGGGTGGGCATGTGCGGCGTGCGCGCTTCCGATTTTCACTGATCGCGTGCACTCGCGAATAATCTGGAACACAGTCGGTAGAGAGGCGGGGGCGGTGCGTGCCAACCGAGATTCGCTGCAATATGGTGACACGGATTCGTCGTCTGCGTTCATTTTCTGACACTTAACATTTACGATTCACTGGTTTTTTTTTCGTTCGTCAAACGTCCCATATTCAAACGAATTCAAACGTTTTGAATTTTGCGCGAAATTAAATTTTTTTTTTTATTTTCTTCCGTAGGTACACCTATTCACCTCATATATCTAATCAAAAGTATCGTATCAAAAAAGTATTACTAAAAGTACATCACTAAATTATCTTAAGTTTGTTATCTTTTTTTCTAACGAATCTAGGTCAATTACTACCTTTCTGTTTTTTTGGAATATTGGATGATGATAGATGTGTGCGGATTATTTTCACATCTTTTAATATATTATGAGAATCTTGAAGCTATATGTACAATTTTTTTTTTACTATGGTTAAATTAAGTTAAAAGAAACATGATACTAAATTATCCAGCCTTAGGTATTAAGTTTTTTTAAGTTTTTTGATATTTCAAAAAATGAAAACAAATTCAAATATTTTAATATTACAAACAACTTTTTCCATTTATTTATTAAATTTTTACGTACTATAGTTTTAAATTTTAATTTGTAAATTTGTTAAAAGTTATTAGCAAGATATGTATTAGACAATACTAAGAATCCAAACTTGTTTCAAAACCTATGTGACATAATTAAATTTATCAGTATTCAGTATGTTGAATTAAAAGTAGATCTATTTAGCATGAAAAAAAATTGTTTTGAAACTTTTAAAGTGTTATTTTAAAATTTCCTACCAGATTGCATATTATTATGTTCTACTTCTGAGTGGCAATTCACTGAATATCATCCTTCATTATGTGGAACATAAATAGTAAAAGTATCTAAATTATTTAAGTGGATATTATACTCATAATATAAAAAATTATAATGATTATTAGTATTATTTTATAGTAAATAAATTAAAGAATATCAAACAATTTAGATTTTATCTGTTTTAAATATTTGCAATTATTATATATTATTCATTGTGTGATTCATGTGTACCTATTTTAAATTTGATTTGATCTTTATTTATGTATTAGGTATTACACATTGTTTATGTCAATCCTTAAATATTTTAAATGTTACTTATTATTTTTTTTTTTTTAGGTTCAAAAATGTCAGCTTTAATTTTAGTTGTGTTGGCTATCAACACAGTGTCAATTCAAGGATGGGATACTGATCAAATGGAGGTTTTTGATCTGGTTGAAGAAATGAATAATATAAATTTTTATAAATTTTTAGAAGTACCTGAAGTAAGTTTTATTTTATATAACTATTGTATGTAAATATACCTATGAAATTTTCATATTAAATTTTTATGATTCAAAATAAGAACCTTTTATTTTAAACTATTTAATCATCAAACCATTTCAATAATTTTTTAAACAACTTGTTTTATACAATTTTAAATATTTTAACATTTATTATTAAACTTATATATAATTTTTCTTTTATTATTATACTTGAAATATTTAAGTACAATATATTAAATAATAAATAAAGATTTTAAAAACTTAAATTTTCTAAGTATTTATTTTAACAGAAGTAGATATTATTATTATTACTTGATAGTAGAGAACAGATTTTTTTGTAATTAAGAAGTCAAAGTATGTAAATATTTATATTCTTATTTTTTATAAATATAAATATAACATGGATATTTAATAAAAAAAAGGTTAAGTTTATTACATACATTATTTTTAAATTTAATTAATTAAATTCACCATGATTGTCATCTTATTGAAATCATTATATACAACATGCATTTGAAGTTTTTCAAATTTAATGTATGACAGTTAGATTTCAAAATTATTTGTAGCGGCTGAATGAGCATATAACGTTGACTGAGAATAATGGGACATATTTTATACTAGATATATCAGATGGTGTTAATTTAATATCCATTGATGTATTTTCATTTTTATTCAAAAGAATATCTCAAATAGGTTTTATATTTTGTTAACCAACATTTTTAGAAAGTACGTAATTTAATTAAATGTTTTATTATTTCTCTTTAAATTTCATTTAATTTGTTTGTTGTTGCATTTTCCACTATCAAAAGAAGTTTGAAGTTTCCAATTTTTTTATCACATTGACTAAAAAACAAAAATTTACTGAAATATATGTTAAATGATTTTTCAATCATTCAGGAGCTTTTGTAATAGCAATAATTGTAGTATCTGAATTCATATTGTCAGTATAATGGTTATTGTTAATATTTTTTAAATTTTGAAAGTGCATATGTATAAAAATATTTAAAAATATACATTTACATTGAAATATGTAAAAAAATGCTTTTTTATCAGTGTTATGAAACATACTTATTTAAAAAAAAAAAAAAAAAATTGCATTTAATAAAATTATATATTCCCATAAAAATCTGTGTCTTATTTATTAATATCTTTATAAGCTTGTGCAATTTTTCGTACTTAAAGTACTTAGATATTAAGGTATATATTTAGTTTATATTAGTTTAGCTTATATTAAGTATATTTTTATTGAATGGATTTTTTAACTTATATGTTGTTTAATTTTTTAGGATGCCAATTCATCAGCAATACGGCATGCATTTAGAAGGATGTCATTGATATTACATCCTGATAAAAATGACTCTCCAGATGCAGAAGCCAGATTCAGAGAATTAGCTTCAATTCATGATGTTTTGCGGGATCCTGTTAAACGTGGTCATTATGACAAAGTTTTAAGTGAAGGGTTACCAGATTGGCATCATGCTGTTTATTACTACAGAAGAGTTAGAAGGATGGGTTTTCTAGAAATGATTGTTATTCTCTTTTCTATTATAAGTGTTGGACAATATCTTGTGGCTTGGGGATCATATATAGAAAATAAATTCACTGTGGTATGTAATCATGTTTTAATGTTCATTATCATAAACTTGTTAATTATTTTCTATTTTAATATTTTTCAGGAAGAGTTATTGAGTTCAAAAATTAAAAAAATTCGAAAACAAAAGAAATATCGAGGTGATTCAACATTACCACCGGAATTTGATGTTAACATACCAAAACCTAGGTTTGTTCATTTAGTCTTGGCTTTTATTTACTATTTATAATATACAAATCATTTTTTCAGTTTAAAAAATACACTTCCATGTCAATTACCTTATTGGTTATGGTTATTCATCTTAAAATTACCTTCACTTACAACTTCAGCCATATCATTTTTGGTCACAAAATTCAAAGAAAGAAAAAATAACCAAAAGTAAGTACTCATTTCATGTTTATTATTCTTTACATACTTATTAGTCAATTGAATAGTGTCACAATCTATGTAATATATCATGTTTTTATTTATTTATTTTTTTTTTTTTAACAAAACATATTTGATGTTAATATTTATTTAGTTAATAAACACCTATACAAAGATTATGTCTTTATAAATGCAAATAATTTTTTAATTTATGATTTGGATTAAATCACTTGAACAACACAATTTTATCTAAATTAATTAATATCATTATATTTAATGATAAGCCTTTTTTTTGCTCTAGTTATTCATAGGTGCTCAACAAATTAGTCGTGTAAATGAGTGTTGTATAAATTTATTTTTTTTGTGTTATTATAAATTTTAATATTTAAATTCAAGTTATTGTAGTTGTCTATATTAATTTATTTTGTTATACAACTACATTTTATGACCTATGGATGATAACTAAAATGGTTTTATTTAACATTATAATAATTTGTTTCACAATGAAAACAAAATAGTTACAAAATTTAGATATTGAATTTGTATCGGTCTTAACAAAAATGTCATTATTTTTACATACCACATGTATAGTATAAAAAAAAGAACATCACCGTGATTTTTGAGTCAACTATGTATATTTAGTTATAGTTTTTTAAGCAATAATGTTAATTTTCTTAAACAAATATAATACAATCTTAATTTATTTTTAGAAAAGTGGATTTTGAAAAACCAGAACCAGTTGTTCGTGAAAGAATAAGACGTCGCAAAATACCGTATAAAATACCAGAAATTAATGATTATCAAAATACTAATGGAGATACACGTGGAAAAGCTAATACTGATAAAAATGAAACGCCAACAGTTGCTGGCGGATTGTGGACGGATGAAGATTTATATGAATTGTCACAGATGGTAAATAAATTTCCTCCTGGTACATCAGATAGGTGGCAAAAGGTTGGCAAAGCAATGCAACGTCCTGTTCCTGAAGTTGCATTTATGGCCAATAAAATGAAACAAAATGGGTATAAGGTGCCAACTCCTGGAGAGACAATAGAGCCAGTTATCACCGAAGAACCGAAGAAAGTTAAAACAAGAGCAACAGAAAATGTTGAGTCAAGTGACAATTCATGGACTCAAATTCAACAGAAAACATTGGAAAATGCTCTTATTAAGTTTCCTAAGGGATCTACAGAAAATCGCTGGGAAAAGATTTCTAAATGTGTACCAAATAAAACTAAAGTAAGTACAAAATTTTAAAATAGTTGTATTATTTGTTAACATTGTTTTTTTGAATACTTCAATTATCATAAAACTTTAAATTTTAATGCATTTTAAATGTTTCTACAGGAAGAATGTATGGCAAGATATAAAGAACTAAATGAACAACTGAAAAAGAAAAAAGATTCAATTGATGAAGGTTTAGATAATGTTAAAAACGATACTAATGAATCGTGAATTATGAATTATGAATTTCTATATACCTTGCTTTTATGTCCCCTGTTTCTTCTTAAGTCTGATTTGGTTGTGATTATTTAAGCTCATTTTATAATTGACATGACATCAGTGTGTGTTAATAGCCAATTGAAATGTAAATCCATGTAATAAATTAATATTAACCCTAAACGATTCAAATGACTATTGTCATTCTTACAAAAACTATTGATCCCAATTAAGATATAATTTATAATAATTGCCCTATTATGTTTTAATTATTTTATTCATTAAATAAATTGTATGTTATTATACCTTTTTAAAATTAATATACCATGTATATATATGATGTGCTAAATCTGTTTATTCTGTAGTTTTCAATATTGACTTGGGTATTTTATCATCTATTTCATTTGGCTTATTGTTATATTCATATTTTCTTTTGTTATCCTATTGAAGTTATTCCTTCTGTTATTACATTATTAATGAGTATATAATTATAATATTAAAAATATAACCTATTTTTTTGATGTGCAATTCAAGTTACATAATTTTTTTTTTTACTTAATCATTATAAAATGTTTAAGTTTTAAGTTACGGTAGTCTCGGTGGTATAAAACAGCAAATACTAGATTTAATGTTGTAACACATTTTTACATTATTAGCTAAATAATCGTAGCTAACATTAGTATTTATCTACACGATCAGATGTTTTTATTAATTTAAATTACAATTAATTGAAATTAAAACCTAAATTTAGTTCTGATAAATATGATAATATTACAATATAATGGTATAAAGCAATATAAATACATTTAAAAATAATTATGGCAGTCAATTTTAAATATAATATAAAAATAATGTATTTTTATTGTAAGTAATAATGAAATATGATTTGAATAATAATAAAAATTAATAATGGAATAAATGTTCATAAGTATATAAATAGTATCCTTTGTCATAATCAGACAAATTTACAGTGTATGAGTAACTACGTTAAGTATAGAATTGCATGTGTTTAATACAGGGTTAAGGGGTGTATAATGAAATGATAATGAAGAATGTTTATTATAAATTAAAAATATTTTATCTTCAATTATTTATCTATTATTTACCACTCAATTTTATTTTCAAAATAATTACTAAAAATTTAATTTAAGCTACAGAATGAGTTAAACTATTAACAGTTATATGATATGAACTTAATAATAAATGTAATACATAATATGAGCATTTTTAGTTTTGATAACATTTATATTGTTTTAAAAAAAATAAAATAATTTACACAGATTTTTCATAGTTTCAGAAATTTATAAAAACTCCACTTTAATATGTGCTCTTTTTTATTATTGTTAAATAATGTTCTTAAATATATTATTTATAAAAATTAATATATATGGTAGTACTTACAACCTACCTATTCAAAGTATAGTTTGGTAATAATTGTTATGTTAAATAAACAATAATTGTAGAGTTGTTCTTCGCAAATAAAATGTTATATTATCTAGGTCAAAATTTAAGTACCACCTGTGTAAACTTGTTAAGTACTTTTGGTATTCAAATAATTTTTAAGAACTATACTTTAAATTACGGTTTAAACATATTATGTTTAACAAGAAATACCTTGGTATGAGTTGTAACAGCATAAATATTAATAAAATTTTCATAATTAAAGAAAAGAAACATAATTATTTTTATTGATTGTTGCAGAATACTTTTGGGGTATAATTTCAATTATTAGATATTGTAATTTTCTTGATACTAGATAATACTTATTTTACAATATCTTGACTAACTACTTATATTAAATTAAATTAAATAAAAGTAAATAAACCAAAGTAGTTAAATAATAGACTTGGTACAATGATTCTGAACAGAAACGATTTATTGTCTTAAAGATATTTTATACATATATAATTGATGAAAAATATTTGATATACATTCTGTTTCTTACTTATAACTAAAATAAATAAATTAAAATTCAATTAGGAAGGTATATTGAAAAATAACAACATTAATAATATTTAAAAGTTGTTTAAAATTCTAATTTTTATATATTTTAACTAAAAAATTATTTTTATTCCATAATGTGAACTATTTATGAATTATTTACTTAACCTTCTTATACATTTTCAAATCTTACTTATGAAAGTTGAAAATTTTATAAATAATTACTATTAATAACAAAATATTAATTTGTAAGTTTATTTTAAAATGTAGAAATGTTTTTAATAGAAAAATTACTTCTCGTGAGAAAGTTTTTTAATAATATAATAACCTACTCATTTTCACATAACTATTTAATGTTATTTAAATGTTCTGATAAAGTTACGGCTACAAAAATAATATCTTTTTTATTTAATTATTATTTCATAATATCCTTACAATATTATTTTTTATATTTTCCATAAAACGATGTTAATAAATTCTATGATATTTTTAAAAATTTATCTCAACAAAATACAAATTCTTAAAATCTTATAACTAAGTTTATCAGGATCATTTTACTAATGTATTTTTCTAAAGACTAATATACGATTTATTAGGTATTTTTAAAATAAAAAATTACTTTTCAAGTTAATTATAATCATGACATTTATTTATTAAGCAGTTTGAGAATAGTTATTAAATGTGTTATTAGTGATTTTTTCTTCTTTATTTCTAATTCCGAATTTGAGTGATTCAACCAAATCCGTAATGGGACATCAATTTTTTGATCTGGATTTTTGTTATATTGTACATTAAATATTTTCTCATAATTCTCAAACGAATAATTAATTAAATATTATTTATTTAAAAATATTAAGAAGTAAAGAAACTTAATAAAAAATCTTAGAACTAAATAACAAAAATAAGAGATACAATTCATAAGAAAAAAATAGTTTAAATTAGTACATGTTTAAAAAAAAAGATAAGAAACATATTAATAAGTTGGAAATGTAAAAGACGTATGGAAAGTGATGATAGTAATCATTTAATACTATGTAGTTATAACAAACAGTGACCAAGAGCTATTATGTAAAAAGGTTGACAATTAATTATCAAATTTATTTTAAGATTTATTTTTTAAAGTTTTAAATTTTTGATCATGTATTATACATTATAAAGTTTTTAAAATTAAAAAAAAAAAAAAACATTTTATTGTTTTATTTGAAATGTACTTGGACATACACTCATACACACATAATACTTGATATAATAAACTGAATAATAATTATTTCATAGGTACTGACTGTTTAGTGAATTTGATATACATTCGTAGATATCTAAAAAATAAAAAATAAATGTTGACATTTTTTAATTTTTTTAGAATGTTAATTTTTTTTTAAATCTTTATTGCAAAAAATCATTTCTTTTTATTGTCTCTCTTAAATAAATATGATATTTATGTTACTAAAATTTTTGACGTGGGTATAATTTTATTATTCACATAGCCATACGCCCATACATAAGTAGGTATATCGTTTTGATGATGTCTAGTTATGATATAAGAGTCGAATCAACAATTTATATACAAATTTATAATATTTTTACCTATTTATAAGCGAAAGATAAATGTTCAGATTTCCAAATGTTTTATTTTATTTGAAATTTTGAATTAAATTAAGGTGTAGCTTAAGAGCAATATATTATTGTTCGCATACTCATGTTCAGATTATTATTATTTAAAAACAATGATATTTGTATCAGAAAACAAACATAGCTACCTGAAATAAACAAATTAACAAGTTTACTAATATTAGTTATTTTTAAAGCTAGAATTTAAATGACCTAAAAAAGACACTAAAATTTACTAAAAAAAATATTCAAAAATGACTTAAAAACTTAAAAAAAATGAAATAAATATGACCAAAAATCCTACTTAGATGAGCGAAAAAAATGCAATTTAAAAATAATTATTACCTACCTATTTATTCATTTTTTATATTACACAAAATAGGTAAAAATTTGTTTTAAGAAGTAAATTAAACACATTTGTTTAAATTTGAGCTGACAATTATTAATAATATTACTTTTTTAATATCAATGGACTGGAGTAGGTAATTGGAATTATCTATAGATCCAATACATATTAAAAAAAGCTTAAACTAAACAATAATGAGTTTAAACACACAAAATATATTATAATATTTGTAAAAATGCAATAAAATGGATTTAATACAAAAAATTCAAAAAATGCAAAATAAAAATTATACATTCTAAACTGTTATAATGTAACGAAACAAATTTAGTTTTCGGTTAGAAGTTAGAACTATAGTACCTATATAATACTCAAAGGAAACAATGCAAGTCACTAAAATCCTAGCTTTAGTTATTATGATTTCATTTTTAAAATTAATATCACAAATTTTATTTTTATATCTACTAACCGATCTTCAGTAAAATCGTAGAAAAAATATTTATATTTAAACTAGGTACTTTTTACTGGAAAAAATTGTTAAAACAAAATTATTGTAATTTTCTTTAGATATAAATGCTTGGACTTTAAAGTTAGTGTCTTATACAAAATGCATTGTAGTACCAATGCCATATTTAAAATGTATTAAAAAGGTTAATGTTAATAGACATTTTTGAAATTATAATTAAATATTTAAATATACAATAGGTAGAAAGGTATACATGATACATGATCAACTTATAAAATGGATTAGGTACTTTTATATCAAATTAATTCATTTTTTTCCTGTATAATTTCTTTTGTTAATAATATAATTATTATATTGTTGAAATGAATTTATAGGTACCTACTATAATAATATGTAGGTAGGTATTTATAAGTTTATTTTTATCAAAAATAATAACTTATTGTAAAAATAAATATATTTATCGTTCTGTTCTGAACGATAAAATTATTTAATTAATCCAAAATTGTTTAGAAAAATTGGTGTTTTCATAAAGTTAGCTATCTACCTATCTATTAATAATATATCTAGTATTGTTCGAATTTCATAGTGTTCATCTGATTGAGTTATCTAAGTTAGACTGTTTAAAGAACTTAAGTTGCAATAGAACTAAAACACCAAATCATGTTATTACAATTAATTTTATAAGCAATAAGTCATGCAAAGGTATGGGCAAATATTTCGAATTTGATCAGTGCTATTATGATATCAAAGCATATTATGCTAAAAAGTAGGTATACAATTTATTATAGGTTAGGTAACAATATTTTTTTATTACATTGACTGACTGCTTAAAAAAGTATTTTATCGCACCATCGTTTTTAATGCTTTTTAATATACAATACATTTTCAAAATAAGAATAAATAATACTCAAAGTTTACTATGAGAGAAGTTTTGCACTTTTGCTTTAAAGATGTAAATAATTAGGAATGCTATTTTTCCTTTTAAACATATTCAAGAGACATTATAAGCTTTTGCGATTTCTTATTAATACTGT